GAAAGAGCTATCGGCAATTAATGTTCTCAGCAGATCTGAGGACATATTTAGGACTTAAAGCTCTGGGCCTTTAGAAGGAGTCCTATAAACAACAGAGTATCACACATTTAAGGAAAATGAACACTTCCAGGCAGACAGACAAGCTCTTGCATTCGATCAATGACTATCAGGTGTTATACTGAAGCCCCTAGAAATCATTATTTCTAATTAAAGAGCCAGCCTAGGAACACCTTAACCCATTACAACATCAGTAATGTATCCATGCACAGCTGAGGAAAGCTGACTCGTGAGAAATATTAGTGTGGGGAAAAAAAACACATGCACATCCATCTACAACAATACAAACCAAGTAGATTGAACTGCTTGTTTATGAATGCTCATTCATGTCTTCCAATCTCCTATTTACTAAAAAAAAAAAGATGAATCCTAATTCTAATCCTTTCCATCGATCAGAGATTTTTTCAACCTCTAATTCTGCTATACCACTGAAGCAAAATCTCAGTTTTTCAGCAATGCTTGAACTTGCTTGCCAAAAGCCAAGATCTTCAAAGCTATTCAAGTACTTTCCACACTCTTCCACCTTCCTCTATACCAAAAGTACTTCTCATCTATATACAACTCTAATTTACCTGCTTTTGTTTTTACATCAATTAGTAACTGCTCTGCCTAATACTGGATTAATGAAGAATTCTTATCCATAATTTCTTTGATAATTTAAAATTAACAAATTTTAACATTGTACTTCAGAACATTTATGAGGACTCACCATAATCTGGGTGAAAAATCTGGCGAATCAGAAGAAGAAACCATTCTTTTGTCAGGCCACCCATATCAAGACCAGCTTCCCCCACAAATGTGACTTTCAACTTCTTTTTCAGATCTGCCCTCTTCCTTGCTAACTATTACAAAATAGGTAGGAAAGAAAAAAAAAAAAAGTATTATCATTATCTCTAGCCATAAAGAACACCACTCTTGCTTTGTTTAAAGTAGCAAATTGCATCATCTCCTACTAATAGGTCATAACTATGCTAAAAAAATGATTGCGGTGCAGAAACAAGACAAACATGACATCATCAACTACCTTGCACATGGTGCCACTCTCTAGGCTTGTAAAGAAGTTAGGTGGTATGCAAACAGACTCTTAATAAGCTACTAGATACAATGAATTGAATCTGCCTGGAATATTCTGGACCTATACAAGTTTTCGGACCTACACAGAAGACATAACAGGAAGAAATGACAGATTAAAAAAGAAATTAGGTATCCTTTGAAGATTTTAGAAATAACAAGGTACCTAAAACTTTCAATATTTGGACACAGTTTTGTTCAGCATAAGATACCTGCCAGCAAGTATCAGCTGTTTGTAAAACTGTTTTTAGACAATGGTTACAAGCTCTTTTCATTCCTCTGTCCTAGGAGACAGCATTTCATCCAGGTATGCAAAAGACCTGCAAATATTTAATTATAGCATTTCACAATTAGCAGTGATCTTTCAGATCAAGTTCCTATACAATTTATCTTTAAATCATTAACTTCCAAGCTCTGGAGAAAGTATTTAAACCAGTCAGGAAGATTCATGCACTAAAATAATTTCTACACTATTAGATGCTAAAGTAAATTCCTGTTGCACCAATTTTGTAAATATAGGCATTTTTATTATTTGACACAAACTATTTATTAGGTGAAGTGATTTTCCTTTGCAAATTTTGGGTTTTTTTAATTTGAAATACAAATAAGACATCTTTCCCACCGCTTCACTTGTGAGAATACAGGTAATATAATACATTCTTACCCATCCCTGATATGGGCAGAAGAAAACATCAGAAATAAATAGGAGAATATTTTGGCTATCAGAACTTTTAAAGTTAGTCTTGTTTTTTTCAGTGTGGTAAAAAAACCAAAAAAAACCAAACAAACAAAAAAACCCAACCTACAATGACTGCGAGAAAGCAGTATTACCACTCATATTTCTTCTATCTCAGGATAGAAGGCCAAAAGAGACAGGCTTTAATTTGGGGAAGTTTAAACTTATGTTTTCTGAATATGAGCAATCAGAATTTGTTTGGTCTTGTTTTCACCACTTAGACTTATTCTTCAATACCATCAGGCTGCTTTACATGAGAAAGAGCAGGGAACTAGATTTCACTATTTCATGTCAGTAGGCAAGACTCAGTGGATACTGAAGAAGTGGGCGATGAGGCACTGGGACAGGTTGCCCAGAGAAGCCGTGGATGCCCCATCCCTGGAAGTGTTTAAGGCCAGGCTGGATGAGGATTTGAGCAGCCTGGTCTAGTGGAAGGTGCCCCTGACTGTGGCAGGGGGGTTGGAAATAGATGATCTTAAGGTCCCTTCCAACCCAAACCATCCTATGATTGTAAGAATTGCCTAGTTTAATGGACACATGTTTAATTTCTAAAAAAGGAAAAAATTACATTCAAGAATTTGAGGAATTAGTTAAAATCAAGATAAAAACTTAAGAAAGCCTAAAATAATTCTTATAAGACTGTGAAGTTAGTGAAGAAAAAGAAGAAAAATATTCGACAGAACAAACTCATTAGAGATTAGTCACTTACTATTCATGCTTCTACCATGGAACCAAGTCCTACATAACCTGATAATTATGCGCTAGGTTCTTAAGAAAAATTACAAACACAAATACATACTGCCTGGCATGCAAAATGTATGTTCATTATGGGCTTAGCTATGGAGCAGTACGAGGATGGAACATAAAGTTCAGAATGTCTAACCTAATCTGTTCTGCAGCACTGCTATTGTGACAGTAATTCAGTTCTTTTTATTTAGGATTATACAGTTATATTCCCAATTTTTTAGTGCAGAAAGATATAAATATGACTTATCAAACTGAAATCCAAGTGTAATAGCTACTCTTCAGCAACACACCGCTTAATTACATTTTTTGTTACCTCATCAAGTGAATCACTGACAAGGTGTGTCCTCCTCACTTTCACATTTAGAAACAACATATTCATGTCAGGTTTCTGTCTGCGAGAGACTTTATCCACAAGGCTTTGCTATTTGAATGAAAAAAAAAAAAGCCATCATACATGGAGTATCTTCATTTAAAAACCAAAGTGCCACACTTGTTAAATGTAGAAATTCCTTAGTATATTGCATTAAAGACTTACCCAGGTGCAATAGCTGCTTCAGTATCTTCTAAGGGATGCAACTTCTTTTCTACTGCACATAGCACGGTTCTGGTATAAATGCTAACTTATCAGGAAGTTTAACAAGAAGGCAGCAATTGTGCAGCAACCTTTTAAACTTCCCAAATAGTTAAGAACATACCCATAAGATTCTGAAAACTGGTTTGTGCTTTACTTAGCTATTCACAAGACACGTCCAGCAAGACAGAAATGGATACGTTGTGGTGTTGCCACACTGAGCACTGAGAAAACCAGTACCACCTAGCACCTGAAGAAAATTACCACTGAAGGAGGCAGACAATGCCTCTTTCAAAACAGAAGAGGCTGCCCAGAAGCAATACCTCTTCTGTGACTTGCGAAGGTACAGTTGCATTCTGGTCTTTCGTGACCACATATCTTCACAGAATTAAATAGGAAACAGCCCAAAATTCTCATGGAATTTTTCTTCATAATTAACTTGCTAATTTAACATGCTAGCACATTAGGCTGGTTTCTCAAAAAAAGAAAAAAACTACTGTAACATTTTCTCCACAACACTGGTATTTATAAGCATCCTAAAGATAAGCACTTTAAAAACTAGTGAAAGAATCCAGCGCGAATGTTTACAGACCAGTAATAATAAAATAGCTCAAGTTCTTTCTCGGTGTAGTCTGAAATACGATGATGAATATTTAATAGTGGATGAAATAGCAATCTAACAGAAACTTATACAATACCAACAGATGAGACACAAACTTTTATCACTAAATGACTTACCCGTGCAATACTTATCATCTGCTGTTCTGAGTCTCTTTGAATAATAACTTTTTTTGCTGCTATAGAAATAATAAATGGGTATTGACAGAAAGAAAACCTAATAGGAAAAGAAGATAAAAATATTTCCTCTTTAGCATCTAGCATATGATTTTCTTTTTGAAAATACAGAAGTGAACCTTTGGACTATCATTCAGCAACTACCTTCCCTCCACTGATAGTAACTTGCAAATAGCTGCTGGTTTTTTGTATTGTCTACACAGCTACTCAGTTCAGCAGAACAAACTGTTCTTTGCAAATACTACTAGAAATTGTAATTAGTAATAATACTTCTCAACAAAGCTCCTTTTTATTATTATTATACATCTAATAAAAAACAGTCAACATTTTCTTTAAATACTAAAATTTAAAGAAAATTATGTCTTATTATTAAACACAAGACAAACAGCTATCTCAGTGCAGCATTTGTAGATACACAGTAGAAATATTTCTGGTTCGGCTTATTTGCCAATGAATTACAAAGGAACTGATTTTCTACAGGTCCTTCACAGTTATAAGTGTTTAGAACTTCTAAAATATCAGATCAAACCCACATTCCACTGTAATCAAATAATGCAAATAATTTTGAAAACCTTCAGAAATCATCAAGATAAGAGATTTTTTTTTGTAACTGGTTATTTTGGTGGTTTAGCTCATGCACCACCTAGCAGGAGTTTATACTGAAATACCCAGACCTGCAGACACTGTGTGTGCATCTTCCATCCAGACTGCATGTGCACCCTGAATCCTGCCTGTGAGAAGCTCTGGGTTCTAATGTATTTAGGAAACAAAGGAAAACAAGGAAAAATATTCTCACTTGGTCTCCTGGAAATCCTAATTCAAAATATTTTACCAAGGAGTGTTGACTTAGTTTGAAGAATTATGTAATTTAATATATTTCATATGGAAGGTAAACCAGGACTTACTCCTACTTGGCCTTCTTAGTTTAAGCATGTACGTCTTGATTGTAATTCTTTGGTGGTATTTTTGTTGGTTTTGTTTGGTTGTTTTGTGTGGGGTTTTTTTCCTTATTTTTATTTTAAGTGGAACAACACAGAGTTAAAAATATGTAAAATTGGAAATAAGTGTGGTTATGACAAAGTAAAAATATTAAATTTACTTTAAGAATAAAGACAGCTAGTCTACACTTCAGCTGCTCCAGAAATTATGTATCAAATAAACTTTATTCTGATACATATTGACTTCCCAGCGTTCCCCCTAACTGAGAAGAACTGGAGCAGGTGGAACCCTTTTAGAAGTTTTGGATGTGTGTACTGAAACAGCTAGATAGTGTCAATGGGAAAAAAAAAAAGCTGGAGCTCAGCAGTGTTCAGATTCCAATGCTTTGACTGAAACTAGGCAAAGCTACATTTAATGCTATCGTATGTCATGGGTTTTGGGTTTTTTCCTTCCCATGCAGAATATCAGGTATGAGACAGAAGCCTAGCCAAAAATACCTGCCTTGGTAGAGCAAAATATGCTCTGCAAGAAAGCTACATTTGGATGGCTGATGTCTTAAATTACCTTACTTAAAAGTGTCTTGAAATATGGGGAAATCTTAATTGATCTTGTGATTCAAACTATAAAGATTGAGTGATTCATACTGATTATGCTGAAAAATACAGCTATACAAAATAACATTTTTATTAAGAAACTGTTAATAAGATTTTAAAAACTGGAGCATAAAGATGAAATGCCTGTTTCTCTATATGTTTCTAAATCATACTGCTGGCTGCCTCTCACAAGAAGTGAAATACCTTTGTATGCTTTGATCCTGTAAAAACTTAACCTGTATGTTTATTTTCATGTCACAGAAATAGAACAATTAATTTCACTAGAACAAAAATGATCGATGACACATATACACATAATCAGATACATTTTCAGTATTAAGTGGTAAGAATGCAAAGCACCACTTTCTATGAATATACTGGAGGTTAAAATGTTTGTAATAAGACACAATTAGAAGTCTATGCCAATAAAATATTCACATTTTTATCTACATTTTATATTTTTTCTCCAGTTTGCAAAGGCAGAATTACAATTTATTACAGTCTTCGATCCATACAGTAGCAAGTATAGCAAGTAGTAGCTATAATATGCTTTTCTAATAAAATACAATATTTAATGTGGCTATACATACACATAGAAGGTAGATATACATATTATATGACTAAATAAAAAAACCAACCAGTTATTCCTCTTACCTGTGAGAATTTCCATAACATTGCCAGTTATGATATTCTTCCATAAGATCAATATGATCAAGTGTAGAATTATAAAAGTCTGTATATGAGATAATAGGAGGGCTGATCAGACTATTGGCAGCATCTACAAAGAAAACACAAAAGTCTTAAAATGCTGCCTGGATTCGGCACATCTTTCTCGGCATCCTGGGCACCAGTGACCTCAGGAATTTGAAACCAAATCAGCTACTAACAACTCAGTCTTAGCTACAGAATTACAACTATAACATAACACCATATGACATCATATTAATTACTGTAGAAGACAGTAAGTCCCTAGTTCAGCCCATTTATAAAAGAATCTCCATTTGACTCCAGCCCTCTTAATGACATACACTAAGTTAAGGTTTCACGGATAAAGAATGCTCTGTTCTGCTGAAATCAATAAAAAAGCAGTTTGATTGATGGATTTCTTAAACAACCTCATTTAGTTTCAAACATCGCTATGGATATAACAACATCTACATGCTTTCCAGATAACAATTATCTGTTTGAGTTTGACGCCTCTTTGCAAAAGGGATGGAAAGGGAGGGGCACAAAACATAGCATGCAAAGACATGCCTATTTCTTCAGGTAACTACTATACCATCTACACTCACCAGAACAAAAATTAAGTGCTTGACCAAATGAAGAATACCAAGTCACATTTAAGCTATCTCACGTAACATTCTTATAAAGTCAAACAGCTAATAGGTTTTCTCTACTTGCACTTAAACATAATGTAATATTGATGTCAGACAGAAAGAAGTGTATTTTGAATGACTAAAAATCCCTTTTCTCAGAATTAAGGAATTAGCAACTCTTTCCTAGATGATCAGGCAACACACGTTTTGGCTTTAGATACAGTTGAGCTTACATGTCTAAACTGTCGCTCTGGACAGGCAAGACTCTGCAGAATGCTTTTAAGGAAAAGTTTTAAGTTGACAGCTAAATGAATTCACCCTAATTCCAATCTTAAATTTCACTTGGTGGTTTAATTTTCTCCTAGAAAGGAGAAAGGGTTTTTACCCTTCAAAAAAAGGGGTCTGACCTTAAGCCTCCTATTTTCATAGTAAAAGCTCATCCCCCCAATAGCCTAGTTACTAGAGTGGAGGAGGTTTACATTTGCAATGGTCAAATCTGCTGTGTTCTCTGTTGAGCTGGACAGGGATTTACTTTTTTCAAGCTTCAGTTTTGGACCTAAGAGGTATGTGCATTTCTTAACTTCGCTTAGATGCTAAACACTTCTGTGGGGGTAAGCCAGTTACAGAAGAAATTCAGGCAATTACACATTTAAAACAGTTTGTCTTATAAGCCTAAGGGAAACCTTAACTATCAGTTATTTCTGTGGATTTTGTCTGAACATTCAACTGATGCTACAGGAAAATGATGTACAGCAATTACGCTGTACTGGAAAGCAAGACTTGACAGAAGATGATGCTTTTTGTTGCTTACTATGTTTTGGCGCTTTGTTGTAGTTCATACTGTGCCACCATCATTGTCAGTCTTCCTCAGGAGAGGTATAAACTATCCCTCTCCATATGTGTGCGTGTGTACGTACATATATATACACACACACACACACACACGCATACACAGTTCAAGAAAAATACCTACTAAATAAAGCCAGGACTTTGGTTGCTGATGGAATCCACCAGGTACATTTCACCATAGGTGGAAACTCTTCAGGTTTTGCAGGAAACAGGCGTAAAGAAATAAATTGCAGTAACCTGTCCACCAGCGGCTTGAACCTCCTCTGTGAAATCCTAAAACAAACACGCTGCAGTTACTGATGTGATCACTGTCCATGCGAGAGTTTATATTATCAGATTTCAACGTGGTTTGGATTTTTTTTTTAACATGTTGTCCTATAAATGAGAACAAAATTTCAAATATAAAGTTTGGTAGAAGCAAGCTTTTAAACACTGGCACACAGCAATGCGCTTCAGTGCATCCCTAACTAGGCTTTTTAATATCTGTGATTTGGGGGGGGGGTTTTTTTTGGGGCGGGAAAGCAAGCAATGGAATCATTGCTTGTTCTTAATTTTAGTAAACAAAAAGAAAAGAAAAATCCTTAGCTCTTTCGCCCCATAGTGCGAATACTGAGGAATTTTCAATTTTTTATTTTGTCATACTTGGTCCTATTGAATAAAGAGAGGAAAGTACTTCAAAATGCTTGTGACAAGTGCACATTTTAAATTATGTGATGCACCACTTCCATAATATCACAACAATACACATTTGTGTAACTATATTAAAGCATCCTTTTCTAAACAAGACCTCTCCTATTTTAGTGGTTTAGATTTCTAATTGATGTTTTAAGAATAAAAACATCAATATGCCTATTGCCTTCTTAACTAAAAGGGTAAACTTTATTTGTACATCAATTCAAATGCAATCAGATATCACCACAATTTTAAGCAAAATCTAGGCATAGTACATGGGGAGAGGAGGGAAATATAATTTCCATCCTTGCAGAGAAGAAAACCCATTTTTAACAGATTCCCTAGAAGGTAAGGGAAGTGTGAATATTCAAACATATTCAAGCAAACACCATTCAAACTTTTTTTTACCCCAGACCAAGTTTTTGCACAGTCATCATAAGGAAGGCAACCTGTATACCAACTTAAAAGCCTCTCTTTAGACAGTTACCCTCATTTGACTTTAAGTGAAGTGCTATTAGATTTATTTAAATTAACCAAATAACAAATGCCCTAACTACGTGCTCTCACTAACTCTATTATGCTATGAAGCAGGGAATCAATTTAATTTGTGGTTTTCATACAGTAAAGTTACAGTATCTTTTATAAACTATGCAAGATAAACCTTTATTTAAACAAAGATCAAAAAGATGTTTGTATTAATAGTACCATTTAAACATGTATCTAAAAAACTTAAATACAGTTTTAGTTATTTTTGCATGTCATGGAAAAATAAGTTATTTTGCAATTAAGGCTTTTTTTCATAAGATATTCATTTACATACATTATACACCGTTTGCATCTATAAATCAGTATCACTTAGTGGACTATGTCCAAATGTACTTTGAACACAACAAAAACAATCTCTTTAGTCAATTAACTTTCATATAATTTATAAAACAGTCAACATCAATGGAAATACAGTAACATTTGTAATCCTAAAAATGGAATTTTAACTTTTATTTTATTATTTTTTTTACTTTTTAGACCAGTGCACTAGGAAATGATGGTCAGCTTCTGTTAAGGCTGCTATCTGTCTTAGCAAGTGAGCATAGATGACATAAGTAGAAGTGTTACTAAATTGAGGATTCTGAAAAAGATTAAAAAAATGTGTTAGGTTAATAAACTGCATAAAGGGAAAAAAGTCATTAGGATTTTTTCTTATGTTTGTTGTTGCCAATACAATTATACAGGAAAGGAAATCAGAAAATTGCTGACAGTAGTAAAACTATATTAAAAAAATATTTGCAACTTCTAGTAAAAAAAAATACACAACTTAAAAGATAGAAGTATAATTTTTTTGTTTCAAGAGAAAGCCCATAGGTAATAAAGGCAGCAGTCAATATATTTTTCTGGGCTATCCTTTACTGTGTTGCCCACGGATTGCACTCCTCTCAGTGATGTGCTTTCCATCTCAGCAGTAAGTATTCTCATAGCTGCTGTCTTCCCAGACATCAATCCAAACTTATTTTCCCTCTTACGAGTTCACACATCAGCAGGATATATTCCTTATAGTTCACAGCTAGCATACCACCCCAGAGAAGAAAACTACTGTCTCAAAAAATTAAATTGCCATCTGATCTTCTCAAATAACAGCAGAAACCTCTCCTTGTGTGGAGAGGTGTTTTCTACACTGGCAAAATTAAAGGGGAAGTTTGCTACCAATGCAAATCAACTATAGTAGTAGTAAAGGCAAATAGGTTAACACAGACAGAAATCAGACAACGTAGCCAGTCAGATAGACTGGAGAGTCTGCTGGACAAAGTTACAGCAATATCAAAAAGTGCATATACTGACACTTTCTGGAAGGATCAGAGTTAAGCACATCAATAAAGCAAACCTCAGAATAAGAAAGAATTAACAAACAATCAGCTAAAATATTTGTTTTTTCAAGCCACAAATTGATGGGAAACAATTGCATGTCTAACTGCTAGTTTATCATTTTAATCTATGCAACCTTTCCCCATCAACTGTCTTCCATTACGCTCCCATTCCCATCATGCATAACTCTCGTGGTTTAACTCCGGCCAGCAAAATACCACAACCCTACACTTCTTCCATATTTTAATACACTCTTAAAACAGGAAATGAAGTGTGAAGTATCTCGGCTATACAAAGTATCTGGTTTGCACAGTATACTGGTTTATAGATTAGAAGTTAAGCAGACATATACTTTAACTAAAGAGAAGGTATTTTTCTTACCTGTAAAAGTATACAGTATGCTCTAAGATCATCTTTTGTTCGTGGCCTATGAATGAATGAAATAAGCAGAACCGTATGTATACATCACATAAACACATGAAGTGTCTTGAAATCGTGCATCCTACGATTAAACTGTGCTTTGCCAATACGTGTTCAATAACATATTTAAGGATCTTCACTGCTCTCAGAAACTGAAAAGAACACAAAGATTCTGACTACGCTCCAAGGGCAGTAAGTTGTGTTTGAGCATGTGTCATTTGTGGCGGATCACAAGAGAAAAGACAAAAGAGACAGAATTGAAGAGTAAGTCCAAAGAGGGAAGTCCATTCTGTTGTCTGTCTTGGGTGAAACTACAGAAGAGTTCATTTGCCCCGTCTTAGGTATTTCCTGCCAGAATTCTCCACATGCTTCTACCACTGCAGCCTCTGAACTTCTTGCTGTTTTATCTGCTTTGAGGCTTTTACATAACCACGAGCACACATGCAGCAACAGCACAGAAAAGGTAGAGTAAGGTGGAGAAAAGAATAGCCACGGGCTGGGTCACACCTGAGTCACAAGGCACTGTCTCTTGCTCTATCTTTCTGTCAATCAACATATACCTTCTCACTTTATTACTTCTTGTTAACACCACTGTCATCTCCAAACCTCCTGCCTCTGGGCCATCCCTTTCTGCATCCTGCACTGCCCTTTCTATGCCACTGCCACACATGAACAGTATTGTGAAGTAAACTTTGGATCCAGGAATTATCTAGGTTAAAACTTCCTACTTGCTCTTGGGGGGTAGGCAGGGAAAATATGGTTTACTCGATAAATTCCTTAATTCAGCTCACAGTTTACTGGGTTTGCATGGCAAGGTTTTGGGGTGTGTGTGGGGGTGCTTCTGTGAGGAGTTGCCAGAAGCTTCCCCTATGTCTGACAGAGCAAATGCCAGCTGGCTCCAAGGTGGACCCACAACTGGCCAAGTCAGAGCCCATCAGTGACAGTGGCAGCACCTCTGGGATAATGTATTTAAGAAGGGGAAAAAACAACCTCAACCCACAATTAGGCAAGAGAAATTGCAGCCAGAGAGAGGAGTGAGAATATGTGAGAGGAGTAACTCTGCAGACATCCAGGTCAGTGGAGAAGGAGAGGGAGGAGTGCTCCAGGTGCTGGAGCAAAGATTCCCCAGCAGCCCATGGTGCAGACCATGGTGAGGCCAGCTGTGCCATGGAGGGTCACAGGGGGAGCAGAGACCCGCCTGCAGCTCAGGGAGGACTCCACACTGGAGCAGAGGGACACCCAAAGGGGGCTGTGATGCCATGAGTGGCCATGCTGGAGCAGGCTCCTGGCAGGACCTGTGGCCACACCAGGGACCCACGCTGGAGCAGTTTGTGAAGAGCTGCAGCCTGTGGGAAGGACTCACATTTGAGAAGTTCATGCTGAACTGTGTCCCATGGGAGGGACCCCACGCTGGAGCAGGGGCAGAGTGTGAGGAGTCCTCCTCCTGAGGAGGAAGGAGCAGCACAGACAACATTCAAACCCTACTCCCCATCCCCCTGCACCACTGGTGGGGAGGAGGTAGAGAAATTCAGGAGCAATCCTGAGCTCAGGAAAGAAGGGAGGGGTGGGGGAAAAGGTGTTTTAAGATCTAGCTTTAAGTTCTCTTCTACTCTGACTTAATTGGCAATAAATTCATTTTCCCCAAGCTCAGTCTGTTTTGCCCGTGACTGTAATTGCTAAATGATCCCTCCCAGTCCTTACCTCGACTCACAAACTTTTTACTGTGTCTTCTCTCCCCTGCCCAGCTGAGGAGGGGAGTGACAGAGCAGCTTTGGTGGGCACCTGGCCTCCAGCCTGGGTCAACCCACGAGACACAGTTCAGATGCCTGAAAGATTACACTGGCAACAAAGACCTGAGATGCTGGGGGGAAATATATGCTGTGTTTGGGTCTGCCTCTCAGGGTTTCAAGGTCAGCTTAGAGAGGTCAAGGTAATTTCAGCAGATTTGCCTGCCAAAAGGAGACAAGTTATTAAGAGACAAATAAATTGTATCAGAACATTTTTGTTCTGCGGCCAAAACAATAAAGACAAAAGTACCAGTTTTAAGTGTTGGCACAGCACTAATGGAAACATTTATTGTAATTACCCTTTCCATTCTTGTAGCAAACCATTAATTATTCCTTTTAGGACTGACTTCTGAACATCTTGAGGCTATGGAAAAAAGGAGAGAAAAAAATCATATTTTATGTAATTATACATATTCTATACAAGATACTGTATGAACAAGCAAGTTTGTTTTTCTTGTGATTCAAGCCACCAAACATATCTGTGTGTTATGATGCTGAGCTCCTAAGTATCTTTCCTCACAGACTGAGGCTTGATGTTGTGTCAATGGTGGCTTTCAACGCTTTAAACATCAAAAACCTTAAATATAATTTCTAAATTAATCCCTTTGTTTACTAGGCACAGTACATACTTCGCTACCCCCATCCTCACATTTTTCCTTATTTCCCACCATGAACTGTCCCATCACTGTCATAACTTGCAAGAAGTCTTTGAGATCTACCACAGTACAAACGGTGCATTACTAGTAGCAAAAATTTCCTCCTCTTTTATTAGAGCAATTTTTATGACTCTATGGCAATTCTCATGGGACCATTTTAAGTATGTTTTCAGACACTCTTCAGAAATCTTGCCTATCTGAGAAAAACTTTTGGTATAAATTACTTCCTATCAGATTTCCTTGCTGAAGTAATAGTTACAATGTTTTAAAACATGAATTAGTTTCTTCTACTTACAGTATTTAATAAGGCATCATAGACAACATTCACAAATTTTGCATTGATTCCAGAGTCTTCAGTGGTATTAAAAGGAGAATTGGTATCTTTCTGTAAGTTAGATAATACATGAAGTTTTTTGGTTTTGAAATGTTTTGAATATTTTAGCTATCTCTGAAAATAAAAGCTTAACAGCAAGTTTAAACAAAACACGTACAGATATAACTATTCATTTTTCCTTATTGAAACATAAGAATCTAAGACCTTTTATAAATCTGTGAAATACGAAGCTAAACGATATCAATCTTGCACACTGGCAATATTCATGTCACTCCATTACCTCGCTGGTCTAGTGTAAAAATGTAAGAGGCTTTCAAATAATGAATTACACTGAATTTTCATTTTCCATCTTTGTTGTCAATCCATCAGACAAAAGCAACAAAATCATAAGCATTCAGTATTTAAGTAACTAAAAGTCAGATTATTTTGTCCAGGTTCAGGCCCTACTGTGCATATCAAATATCATAAGCACATTTTGCCCCGTTAAAGGCAGGAAATACTAATTTAGCATGAATTCAGAAAGTTTTCAAACGCAAATATGACCTTTCCCACGGAAACCCGAGTATGCCATCACAACATAAGAACAGCTATACTACTTGAGCCCATATCGTGCCTTTTTTAGGGACATGGAATTTCTGTTTTGAGATTTGCCTGGGCCTCTATATTAGCTTGCATCTTTTAAAGCTGTAGTTTGTGTAGAACGTATCTACACAGTCAAAGTGTCACAAAATGAAGTATATACGCTTGAAATATAGTTGCCTAAACTGGAATGAATGAAACAATGCAATAACAGATTGTCTGCCAAAGCCAGGTGAGATCATGACAAATGATCTTAGTGGCCTTCAGTAATTAGCTGCAAGCCTTTAACTGATGTTTTTGTAAACACTGTGAAGACATAAAGTGCTAAATAGTATTATGGACTTTTTTCTACCTTAAATGCAGCATTTATCTCCAGGAAAGAATCAAATGTTGTAGAATAAAAATCATGCACAGCTTTCCAATCTCCTGATGACTTAGCTTTTTCCACATCATCCCTAGGAAGAATATATTAAAATATTGTTAATGCAAGGGTTGAATCTTCCCAACCACTAAGACTTTAGACTGCACTGTAACTCACAGCTTTCCTCACTAAGAACACCTCGAAGACAGACAAGTATAATATCAGTATCTTTCTAACATCTTCCTTGTCATTTTAAGATCGGGGTATTACAAGAGAACAAAAGCATAGCTTGTCTTTGACACACCCAAGCAATATCTCTTATTCAAAATGTTAAATTCATGGTGTCAACAGTTCAGTATGTTAAGACAAATAATTAACAGAATAGAATTACTCTGAAGATAAACTGACATTATAAAATTTCTGAGACTAATTTATTTAAGTATGCAGGCTCCTGAACAAGTCAGATTCATTATCATTTGTACAAAATGTTATTGCTCTTCAATTTTTCAAATAAAACTTAATCTTTGCATGTGACTATACACATTCCTTAAGGGGACAGCAAAATCAATGGATTTACTCTTAAAGTCCTTCTAAGTATATGGACCTTTTTAAGTATAAGTCCTTTTAAGTTTAAGGACCTTAGAGTAAGTATCTCTAAATGAAATTTTGCATATTATCATACATTAAAAGCAAAACAAAACAAAAAAAAACCCCAAACAACCTTTGATGCAGAATTTTATTTTAGCGATCTGCAGTGCTGGTGATACAAATCCCAGTTTGCTCCCCTCAGATAATTTCTTTGTACTGGATCTTTTTAAAAAAGTTATCAGTGGGACATACCACACATGCTAATGACTCTTCAATACTTAAAAAGATAAAATTCTTGCTAATTACAGAATTAGGCAGCAGTCATTAGATACAAATCTGAATATGGAAATAAATTCAGCTCTTTAGATCACCTGAATACCAACAAAGGACCACCCCTTACCAAATTTTCTTTTATACCTGTATAATTTTCCACCAAATACACACAATGACTAGTCAAAAATCTTTCCTTTTCCTCACTGAGAGCACAAAATTCCAAACATGGAAAAGAGCAATGAAGAGTATATGCTCATACATCTCTTGGAGAAACTGTGATTTTTTTTTTTTATTCCATCTGTTTGAAAAATAGAAGAATCAGGCTTCTTCCTAGGAATTCTTCTTCCCATTTCCTGACCAAGACTATCGTACACTAAAACACTCAAGGGGTATTACAGCAGCGTAATGCTGCTCTGTGGGCATGAAGGCAAAAAACCACCCACACTTGGAATGAATTAGTAAATACCCCTCTAAGAACACATTTACTATAGAGAAATACTCTGCCAACATACCCAGGGGGGTTGAAACTAGATGATCTTTAAGGTACCTTCCAACTCAAACGATTCCATGATTCTGTAAGTACTGCAAGCAGAAAACCCTGGCGTAGACACACCTTCTGCCATTAGTTTTTTCAACAAAGTTATGCCATTTCCTCAAATGACAGTGTCAACATCACAATTTTTAGGAACATAGCTGTGTTAAGTAGAGGGGGGAAAAAAAAAATTCTCTATTGCCTTATGCCAACAGTGAACCAAGCAAAGCCAGCAAAACTTCAGGGTGTAGACCTGACATCTGGGAAACACAGCTGAAAACAATCCTGGTGGTTTCCCTGGGGCTCTCTCTTAGCCTAGCTAAGCTGACCAAGCATCAGGTACTGCGTATCATAACAGCGCTGGAAGAAATCTAATGCAGACACAGTTTTGATTAAACGTCCTGTACTGACACAGGAAAACAGAAGTGGAACACAAGACACTCACATAATTCTACTTTCTAGCTGAATTGGTGTTATGGGGCAGCAGCAAAAATATTGTTTGCACAGACTCTTTAATCTTAAAGCTCTTTTTACTTAGACAAACAAAACATAGTGCTTCTCCTAGAGAAGTGCTAGAATAGCTTACATTTACACTGCTTCAAATTGTGGTCACATTAGCAGCACGTATTTACATGAAAAAAGTACGTTTTTTGCTAAAAAAACTAATGTTGAAAATGAATGCTTTTATCATAATGCATGAAGAAAGGCAATTTGCACTTTTAGGCAAAGTTAGAAATAGTGCAGCCGTATAATCACTGCTCCAGGTGCTCAAATATGATGTGTTTTTCAACAAAGTTACGCCATTTCCTCAAATGACACTGTCAACATCACAAGTTTTGGGAACACAGCTATGTTACTTGACACATTTAATACATTACACTTAAATACTTAACACATTTTAATACACTTGAATACTTAATACATTTTAATACATTTACACTTAAATACCTTTAGGTGTCTGATGTGCAGTGTTTCACACAAGACTGATAACGCTCAGTACCTCAAAGGACAACATACACTTCAATTGGCAGTACAAACAAAATACCTAAGATTGAAACAATTTTCCTCCCTACAATAAGCCATACATATCTTTTTTCAAAACTAAGCATCCACTGAATGTCAGGAACTGAACTTCTATCCCTGAAGTACAAGCTTTGCCATTTCTTGAACAGAACAACACTTGAAGATACAGAAAGTATTTTGATAATTGTTACTGTGAAAATTATCAGTCCCACCATCACAACCAGACTAACTACTACTAGTCACTCAATGCATTGTTCCCTCATTTGAGATGAACAAATTCAAATGTATGAATTGGGACAAAATGGAGAAAGTCCAAAGAAAGAAAGTACAGTATTAGAAACACCAGTGCAACTTACTGAAAATCTTTCACAGTTTTGGTTCGGATAGGAAGGGAAGGTTCAGGAGGAATTGGTGCTTTCAGTTCTTGGGGTAGTGTATCTATAGAGATGCGCTGCTTTTGTCGTACATCGAGGCAAATAGGTGGTAGGTCTCTCACTTATTAAAAAGAAACCCAACAAATAATGAATACAATGCAATTATATAAGTAACAAGCAGTTAACTAGTTAGAAATAGATATATAGGAACTCTGGGAAAAAAAAAATCAAAAGCTCACATTGTCTGATTCTACTTCTTTAAACCCCTACTCATCCAAGTATTTTTCTTACCATGTGCTCATCCCCAACAGAATGGAAACTTCCACTAACTGAAGAGAAATAAAACCCTATAAACCAAAACGGTGTCCTGAGTTCGTAACCAAGACTTTGTGAACAAAGCGCTTCCTTCTGCCTACAGAGGGAGGAAATTGGCCAGTCTGTCTCCTGTCTAAGGCTTTCTGACAGAGAGCAGTCTACTACTTCATAAATGAACTGCTGGACAAAGTTGCAAATGAATTATTTTTCTATTACAAAACCAAAGAACAACAAGACAGATTTGCACAACTGAATTGCTGGTATACTGCTGACAAAAAAAAAGCAGGTGATCTGTATTCCCGTTCATTATTAGGGACAATAGCAAAATATTGTACTTTGATAAGATGCACTAGTATTGCATCAGTAATAACACATTAGTATACAGACAGCAGCATTCACATCACACAATAAAACCCCAAGTTCATATATTACTTCGTTTTTAGAAATGAGTGCTGCAGAATTTTCATTAAATCTGTTTCTAGCTGTAGATGTTCAACCTTCTGAACATTAAGCCAAGTGCCTTCTAAAGTCAGATGCATAATAGAAATGCCTATTCTAAACATCACATCCACCTGAACCTATAAGGAACTCAAGCCAAGAAAGTTAGAACACAATTACAAAACAAAGTCAATGGATGTCACGGAATTAGAGCTACCCAGGGTGATCCTGTTATATTTGCTGTTTGAAAGACAAACTGAGCAGTTCGTGACTGGTAGCTAGTAGTCACAAATAGTAGTGGTGTCCATTATTGTGTTCACAATATATATTCTAAATACTGTAATATACAAACTGCAAGACTGGCATTCCCTGCACCTAAGAAAAATTATAAGCACACCGAAGTCCAACTATTTTCTGATGTTCAAGAAAAGTCTTCAGTCAGTTTTCCTACACTGTGATACATAATTTTAGCTAGAGCTGACAGTGGAACATCTACAGTCTCCTAAAAGAACAACTCCAATAAATTAAATGGGAAATACAAGTCTCCTGTCTTGCAGAGCATTACTGCTAAAATGGTAGCATCTTTAAACATTTCTTCCCAATAACTTTGGCTGCCTATTCTAAGTACACATAGCAGTGCTTTAACAAGGTCTTTCTATTCTTCTCCTTACGTTATATTTGATCCTAGAACATTGCATGGGGTTTATATGTCAAGATTTTGGCAGCAGTGGGCCTGCAGGGGTGGCCTCTGTGAGAGTAGAGATGGAGCGGCCTCTATGCCAGACACAGCTGGCTCCAAAACAAACCCACCACTGGCTGAAGCTGAGTCCATAGGCGATGCTGGTAGCGCCACTGTGATAGTATATTTAATATAAGGTAAAAACATACCGCACAGCAGCTGAGAGAGAGAGAGGAGGAATTAAAACCAAAAAAGAGAAACCACCCTGCAGGCAGACAGCCAGACTAGTGAAGGAGAGGAAGGAGGTGTTCCAGGTGCCAGAGCAGACATTCCCCTTCAGCCCATGGAGAAGACCATGGTGAAGCAGGTTGTCCCCTTGCAGCTCATGGAGAGCCCATGCCCAAGCCGGCTGCTGGCAGGAACTGTGGCCCATGGGGGACCCACACTGGAGCTCTCTGTTCCTGAGGACTGTACTCCATGGAAAGGGCCCATGTTGGAACAGTTCCTGAAGAACTGCAACTCATGGGAAAGCCCCATGTTGGAGAACTTTGTCAAAGACTATCCTGTGGCAGAGGCCTCATGCTGGAGCAGGGGAACAGCTTGAAGAGGAAGGATTAGCAGAGATAAAAGTTTTGTGAGCTGACTGCAATCCCCCATTCCTCACCAGTTGGAGGAAAGGAGGTAGAAAAATGGGGAACAAAAGGTCAGCTTGGGAAAAGAAGTGGGTGGGAAGGTGTTCTGAATTTTGTTTGGTTTGTCTGTCAATACATTGATATCCTCAAGTCAAATCTGTTTTGCCTGTGTCAGGAATTGAAAGTAGACTCCCTGTCTTTATCCCAACCCATGAGCTTTTTCATCCTATTTTCTCCTCATGTCCTGTTGAGGGGGGGTATTGATAGAGTAGCTTGGTGGGTGTCTGGCAGCCAGCCAAGGTAAATCCACCAAAACCATGAAAAAAATTTCCAATTTAGCATATGCAAACATCCATTTTACTGACAGTGTCTTCTCAGATATTCTTAAAACGATTTTTTAGTTTGATTTATACCGCACATTTTATAAAATATAAAAAATTATATAAATCACTGTATAAAAGTGTCCTCAAAAAATCAAATATATTAAACCAAAATCCTCTATGAATTATCTAAGAACCCTCTAAACCTTTTCACTACAATTCCAATAGCAGTTGTTTTTTAAAATTAACCAAACATCAAAGCAGTATCACTACTCCACTGCCTACTCCATTTGTCACAGTAGGGAAATTATTGCTAACAAAATCCCCAAAACCCAAAGGCAGATTCTTTTCACTCGTGCTAATGACGGACACTGTCATTGTGACTTAACTCAGCCACCATTCATCAGGCAATAATAGATCAGAGTTGCACTCCACCCCTTGAGTATGGCATCAATAATAGATATGGAACCTTGCCCACTTTCACAGCTGGAATTTAAAGCTATCTAAAAAGAAGAATAGTAATTTTAAAAACAAAGTGGACCCATAGATACTAAACTAATTCAAGCCAAGATGCCAAACAATCCCACCATGGAAGTGCTCTGCTATTGCCCATCAGCCTCTGCAAGCAGGATGGACTAACTTAAAAGAAACAAGACTGTCTTATTTTTATACTCTGAGAAAGACAAGTAATTTTATTTTAGCTCTCATTCTGTCTTCTCAGTTTTAAATGGATTAAACATTGAATTACAACCAGCTGAATACACTGGAAAATATTCTCTCCGCTCTGCAGAAGAGAGCTGCAGACAGAAGCTGTTTCTCATTTCAGTAAATTGAGGCTGCAGGTGCTAAGCTGGTAACTTGCACCCTGTCAGTGATAAAATTGTCTTTGAAATATATACTGCTTACATTAGATACACTAAACCTGAGTTTTATTAATATGTTTAATAAACATTGCCAACTTCAGTATGTTTTGCCATAATTCAAGTTCACTTGTAAATAATATTTTTGAATGTTAGATTAGCAAATAAATCTAATTGAGATCTGTCACTTGAGTTCCATTGAGGAGAAACTTGAAACTTTATGTATTGAGTTGATAAGAAACGATAACACAATATTACAAGACAAGAAAAAACACAAACATTTCTGGCTGTTTGCCCAGTTACCTCAAGTTAAAAGATTCAGCACTGCATGACTGCTTAGGGAATGATCAAAACCTTTGAGGAAGAAAATCTCATTGCTGCAAAGCAGAATTGACTACTACAAGGAAACTTAGGGTGAATGAATTTAGAACAGCAGTTTTCTCAGTCACCAAAACAGCTACTGGCAGATGGTAATTTTCAAAGTGGGTAAACCAAACAAATCTTACTTGGTTTTGTAACATTATAAAAGAACTAGAACAACCTGGTTCATATATAAATTTCATACCAGATCATTGCTGCATTAGAGGACTTGTTCTTTAAATTCAGTATCTGTAGCAGCCATATAGCAAACAAATATCACCCTTGCTTTCATGCTGTATTTACCAGCATTACCTTTTCCACGCTTTTGCTTTTCAATGAAATTAACACTCTTTGAACTCAAGTATTGAACTAAAGTACTACCAGTATATGCACATATATGTACACACATATTCAAAGACATAGCACATGTACAGATAAACTGAAAAAAACCCCACCAACCAAACATAGTTCCAGAATTCCAGAATAGAAAAAGAAGCATTTTTAACTGGAGAAGTTTGTTTCAATTTTTTTCCATAGAATACACATACCTCCTCAAAAAAAAACTTGAGTGCACCTTCGACTGTTAGTAAAAATAATTTGGTTTTCTATAGGCAGGGTACCCTTGATCCTGAAATTACCAGAATATCTGCTCAATTTTACCAGTTGAGCTCTTCAAGAATATATCCTTGACTATAATAAACATTGCCATACATTACTGTGGTGAAATTTAACAACTAAGTACTTACGAGTCTGTGATTGCAACCCAGAAGTACCATGTGCAGCAGGAAACAATTAAGGCTTAAATAATGTAAGACAGTAGCTTGGAGTCTATGAATCAACTGCATGCATGCTCCTGTTAAAAAGGCTAGTGGCTGAGTAGTTAATATTGATAAGACGTCACTTTCAGCTTCTGAGGAAAAGAATGTTATCCAAGATAGGCAAAATATTTTATTTCTCTGAGGACTTTCAGACTCCAACAGTTGTTTACATGCAATTCACATACAAAGACTTTTCTTTAAAAATACAGAGGTGAGAGCAAAAACCACCTGAAGATTGTTTTTCCAGCTTTGTTAGTTCAACCTTACACCACTTTGTAAGAAACAACAGAGCTCTGGCCTGCTTTGCAGCATCTTTTTGCCTCACCCCAAGTATTGTCCTCAAGAACACCACTTCTACCTTAACTCCAGGAAGTTATGCAGCAGCGGGAGTATTCTTCAATAGCCCTCTCCAGCCATCTTTGTTTCCTTCGGTAGTACAAAGTGCCTTGAGCAGAGTACAAAATCCGCTCCAAGGCATCATTTACACATAATTGCCTTTTATGTTTCAGTGACTGCCTTTTTTTTTTTTAAAGTAGCAAGCACCTCCTTACTCCATACCAAGAATTGCTTAAAAAAAATTAACAATTGCTTGTACTTTTGCAGTACAGCTAGCAAGCATACAAATATGATTTTGGTAAGGATCCAATCCTGCAAGGCGTAAGCCACCTTTTTCTGCACAGCTGTGAAACTCACCGTAGCTGTCCAGAGTTTTGTTCCCAACTCGCACTACTGCCATCTCTGAAGTAATGCAGGCTCTCCATTTCCAGCCTTGAATTCAACAAGTGCTTAGAGAACCACACAATAATAAGCCTGAGAAGGACCTGCTCAGAGGCAAGATCAGCACAAACCTGACAAATATTTGTACAGCTTTTTATCAAAAGTCCCAAATTATTGCAATTCCATATGCTAGCCCAAAAGTCTAATAAAAATTTCAGGTCTAACCACAATGTCATCTCATATGGCTCTGTAATTCCAGCCTACCATACTGAATATACAGCTCCACTTTCACTCTTTCAATCAATTATTGTTACCTCATCGTAACACAACCACCTTCCTCCTTGCCTTTAAAACTCTTCAGAACTTACCAATCTTTGCCTGTGAATTTTATTTTGTGTCATCACTGGCCTTCATCTTCACCGAGAAACAGCAACTCTCAGCAACTGTTTCCCTTAAAGCCCTTGTCTCATCCCTGCCATCCTTCAGATGGCAACAGAAAAATCTTGTCCATGAAGTTCCAATGCAATTTCTACAGAAACTTCTATCTGACTGCAGTTAGAGAAACACAGAAGGGCTACTGAATCTGCAACTTTCTTTAAAACTTCAAATAATTATTTCATTCGCCAGGACCATTTGTTTTTCCTATCCAACATGTCTCTATGACATCAGCCCAACAGAGGATGAACTCTCATATATATCACTGCCTGTACAATGTAGAGCACAGCATAATTTAATGAACTCTAGATTTCTAGATTTTCTGGCACTACCACAATACAAATATTGGCAGAACACTGAGCACCTTCTTAAATTGGTAACTAAGTAACACAAGGCTTTTATTCTCTTACCATTTTTGATGTTGGGTATAACTAGTTGCGTAGGCGAATTTCTGTTTCCGATGCCTTCTTTCTTTTGGTTGATAGTTGTGATGAAATTGCTGAAAGTGGAAAACTGATTTTTGGCTCCTCTCTCCAACCCCTGTAATTAAGATGACAGGATCCTATAAAAGACTAATACATTACTGCAAGAGTAACCTTACTCATGAGATATTAGATAGAATATTTCAACATCTTTTATCTTGAAATCAGATTGGAAATACCTACATAAGACACAAATAATGATTCTGCAAGTTTGTTTCAAATTGAATCAGGGAAGAGACCATAAAATTCCTTTCCATTACATTCAAGAACTCAAGTATTACTTTGCAGGATACAAAGATTTCCTTGGGTTACTCTGAGGAAAGCACAATACGATTAGGATGCTTTCAACAATAGTCTAACTTTCTGTATCCTAATTTCTAACTATCTTTATATTTCTCACTACATCCAGCTCAGTTTAAACAGATGCAAGTGTCACCTATTCCTTTCCCCAAATAACCCTAATATACTGGAATAGTTTAGACAAATTTCCCAAGACTCAAAATGTGGGCCCAAAACTTCTATGTGAGCTAACCTGCTAATAAAATTTAAATACTGCCTACCCCTAATGATTCAAAATCATCAGCTAGCTAGAAAGGCTAGCCAACAAACATTTGTTAACACATTGCTAAAAACACCTGTAGGTGCTGCCACCAAGGAGTCTCCACAAGCCTTTGCTAAGAAACATTGAGCGCTAATGTGTTTTAACAGTGAACAGAAGTGAAATCACACTACAGACTTCCAAAGGATTGTGCCAATCGGGCTGTTTGACACTAGGAGTTATTAGAGGTATTTACTCTGGAGAATTTGCAAAGCATGGGTGGGTTAAGGGGCTTGCCCAAGATGACAGAAGTCACGTGATGGAGATTAATTTCCATTTCAGCTCCAAGTCACCAGGTGCTATCAGGTAAAGGTAGATCAACTTAAAAAAAATTGCACACTCTTCCTGTAGATCATGATTTTCAGCCTCACATTAACCTAAAGATTAATTTGCTTGATATCTGGTATCTGCGCTCTCAGTAAGAAACAAAATGTTTCCGTGCAAATCAAAACTGTAATTCTACAAAGGAGAATAAAAATTCTAGAATAATTAATGTAACATCCTATCATTTTTTTTAAACCCACACATCTCCCTTTTCCCTTAAGGGTAGTAGATTTGGACCTAAGACATATAGCCAGAGTTCTGCGGAAAGCACTCCACTTCCACCACAACATCCTGAAATACCACCAGGAAGGTAATAACACAGTCCATAAACCTGCCATGCCGCAGTGTACGCAACCTGGTACACTGCCAGGAATTTAAAACAACTGTGGCACAAGCAGCCCTTTTTCCATGGCTTATAACTCAGCAAATTATAAATTTGAACAATCAGCAGGACTGCTGGCTTTAAAAACACCAAGTTTCAATTTCTAGCTCCAAATTCCTGGTATGCAACAAACATTCAAAAATAAAGATGTAATTACCACTATAATTTTCACATTCAATTTTTCTTTTATTCTACCTTTGAAATATCATTAAGATGCTTCTTAAAAATCACCTGGCACATGACTGGAAAAAAACAGAGCCTGAACAAACATGCCAAGACATGATTGACTGAAAAAGGACTTTTTAACCTCAGATCTGGATTTGTGTGTCTGCTGTGAATATATGCTCTAGGAAAACAACCTCTGGAGCTTGGACTAGCCTAAGTATGATTAATAGGGAGCAGATATCATAGATAATTAAGAAGAGAAGCTTTTTATGAAACAGACTATTGTGACAGCCTTTTTGACTGACTCTGCTTTCTAGGTTTTACTCCAGCCTTGCCACTGAAATGGAATAGTTGAACAGCTGGGGTTTTTTGTTTGTTTGTTTGTTTGTTTTTAAAGTCCTTGATAATGCCACCTCCCTCAGTAGTGACCAGAAAGAACAAAAATTGCACGTGCTATTTAAGTCTGTCATCCTGCTCCAAATGCAGTTCCAACAATACTAAACAAATGTATGGAAAAAGGCTTTATTGGAAAGCCCTGAAGGAATACTGGGAAACTACATGCTCATTAATGAGGGTTTCTGACATCTCCTGGGCGAGTAATCTGGGACAAGTGTACAGCACCACATCATACCTACATATTTTGTAGAAGGTCAGTGAGCCTCTAGAGCCTCAGGCTCCACACACATACTACCATCAGAAAACTGAAACCCCCACATAAAGAATGAATATTCCTAGAGGGAGTAAGTGGATCAAAGTAATCTTTAATCCTCTTTTTTAAGAACATACTAATAACTGAAAACTTTGCTGGCTTCTTAGTGGAAGTTTTCCAAAGCATTAAGTCCTCCATAAGATTGGAGAGGCACTAGCATTATACTTTATAAATTAATGTTTTTCATTATTAAAGTTAAATTAGATGATGAAAATAAGGCAAACTGTTCGTGAAAAGCACATACATTATGCTTTCTGGGAAGAGGCAAAAGATCATCCAGAAGGATTTTTTGAAAATCCTACTCTTTAACCCCAACATAACGCACTCGACACCCATGTGTACGTGCCAAGAAAAGGCCAGTGAGGAGTAAAACGTTTTCTTCCCTGTACAAGAAGACATGGAGGACATTTAGTCTACCCAAAGGGCATCTGTCAGTGCAACAGTTTACACAAGTAGTATTATTTTTCCCTTCCATTCATCTCTTGAAAGGTGTAACATAGGACTGGTTTCACTTTACAGAAACCTCTACCTGTTCCTGCTTTCTAGGGGACATTTACCTTCCCATAAGGTTCTTTTCAGAACCTGGATGCTGACCTCCACACCATCACCCTCGATACATTATTTCTACTTACCATTTGACCCATAAGAAAGGCCTGAAGTCCTTGTGGGATCATGTTAATTTATTCATGGACTAATTTAATCTCCACAATTTGCCTTAGATACAAAAGCAAAAATCAAAAAGCCAACCATTCTTCCACAATTCCTTTGGCTAGGAAAAGCCATGATATGAATGACAAGAACAATAGTCACATAATGCCTCTATTCCAACTTGCAGCCAGCTGAAACTCCAGATGAGACATCTTTCACACACAGCTCTTAGGAGAAAAAGGATACCACGGTTACCTATTGAGTTACTAAAATTCTGACCTTTCCCACAGTGATTGCACAAAATAGAAACTGTTTAAAGGATGTGTCACACCTTCAGGTTGCCTTTGAGGAAACTCTAGTCATGCCACGTCAGTTGCTCATATTGATGGTGGGCCTTCAGTGCACTGAGAAATACACCAATTACACAGAATCTGGGGAGATGTTCTGAGACAAGGATATCCAAGCCTCGCTTCATATAGGTATAGTACCTATATCACCATAGCCATCATATGATGGCTACAAGTTTAAAAACAACAGGCAGAGAGAATATGAAAATAATGGTCATCTAGACTATCACTGTATTTGTATCAGATTTGTATTTTTAAAGGAAATTAATTTTAATGGGAAAAAAACCCCAAAAAAGGAAAAATTTGGTTTTTAAAAGACATTAAGTCCCCCCTTTGTGATCATAGCATATTACAAACTCTTCCTCAGTTTAATGAGGAGGAAGCTGAGTACATATTTCTCTCTCTTTTAAAACGTTTGAAAGGATTTAAGTAACACATTTTTTTGATGTTCAATCAGAACTTCTAATACAAGAATTTGTATTAAAATCATGCCGTATAGGATGAATCTCAACACATACTTCACAAATCCCTAGAATTAGATGTGTAGGTTGGTCACAACTAGGGCTTAGCAGACCAGCAGTCTGATTATCTTCTTTACAGCAACTCACGAAGGTCTTGCCAAAGCACACCTGCATTCCCTATTCAGTGTGTTTGGATCAAAAGCTGCATTCTGCTACAGAGAAATACGGGGCTGTGGAAATGACTTGTTACATCTGTCCACAAAACTCTCCCGCTGAAACAGGCTATTAAACCCCACATGGTCTCTGTAAATTTAAAACCCCGCGTGCACTTGACAAGCAATCGCACCTCGCCAGATCTGAGCTCCTCTGCTGCAGGTCAACTTAGACATCCCTGCGTGTGGGCAACAGTTCAGAGGCACATGAAGGATATCCAGCTACAAACAACTTGTGATTCGTTAAGGCAGTGGGAATTCTACATGGCTTCCCAGTTGCACACGTTTTCCATTAGCTGAGCTAAGCCTGACACACTTCAGACCCACACTTTTATCTTTATTCTAAGGGACAGGCAGTTGCCATTCAAAGTCTGGAGCAGAGGCTTGGTAAGTATAACTCCCGGGTGCTTGTCCGTTACAGACTTCTCCCACCAAATCTGTATTTGAATCACAGGAACAAACACATTCTTCCACATTCTGACAGATTTGCAAAGCTGAAAGTCTTTCAGAAAATTGGAACGTTGTAGGCAAAACACAAAATTGGCAGAACTGCTCAAAGGAGTTTGCAGTTTGCCTACCATTACTTCGTTTAACATTACAATTGATTCGTGACAGTCATAAACATTAGACGCTCAACCTTTCAAACTCACCTTACGTGAAATGGTCGTTTCTATTAAGTCGGAGGCTTATCAGAACTGCTGAATTAAGTATCTCGTAGCTGTATTACTACAGGAACAGTAACGTTTTTGCTCTGCTGTTGGACTGAAGTAAGTTACAGCAAGCTTTAACGTTGAACTATGCAAGATATCCAACTCATGCCAGGAAAATTTTATGTTTTGTAATATTGTATGGTCAGCAGAAAGAAAATCATAACGGCAGTAAAACTGAAAATCTCAAAGAGGTTTCTGAAATTAAAGTATTCTGGCAAACATCCTCCTCGCAGGTTTTTTTTTTACCCGTGCTAACTCATTCATCAATTATCGGAACATTTTGTCATCTTTGCTTCAACACGACGTAAGAAACGAAAAAGACCTTTTCCTTAAAAGTTAAAAATAAAGTATTTTCTAGCTAGTTCTCTGGCTGTTAAGAGCTGAACCCCTCCACCCCCGAAAACCCTTAACGAGCATTCAGAATGCTGCAAGCCCTCAGTCATGACTAACCCGACAGAGCAGACCGTTGTAAAATGCTAGAGAACTATAAGTAGAGGGGGAA